CCCGTGACACGAAAGCCTCAGTCATCTGTTGGAAGGCCGTTTTTTGGTGGCCCGGTATGCCAAGTCCTCGCTCAACTAAAAAACGTAATGGTTGGCAGGTTTCGGTGAGCAGAAGCTGAGGGGTGGATTAATTTTCACTACCCCAAAATAAGGGTTTCTACCTTATGAGTCAGAAACTTTTTTTTTGAAGAAATAGTATGGACCTACTGAGGCCTAAACAGAATTTGTTGGAGGGCCTTCCCCCTCTCTTTACCATGCCCACCGCGTTTTAAGTAAAATTCCCAAGGGAAGTTCCTACCTCACAAGTTAGAAGAACGAAAAAAAATGGAAATTATACATTTCGACTTCCTCGTCCGTTCTGCGCTGGGTTGGCCCTCTATTTTTTATTTAAACATATGTTTTTGCGAAATCGAAGTTCTTTTTTCCCTCGCTATAATTTAGGTAGTGGAGGTTTCTATATAAATCAAAAAAATTATTCACACTTTTTATTAACAATAATTGCTAAATATTTTGGGAAATTGGAGAAAAAAAAAAAAAAAAAACATCAGAATTGGCTCAAATTGGACATAAACATAATTTCAGAGACGGATACAGGAAGTAGGCGCAGGGGGCGCGCGTCTCCCTGAGACTCTAAAAATCTACTCGAAAGATTTTTGAGTAAAACATTTGAAAAAAAAAAAACATACTTATTTAGAAAAAAAATCGAAGTTGACACCATTGTTCAATTTTTCGTTTTGTTCTTTTCAGATAAATTTGTATTGCATATTTTTATTTTGAATAGGTATTTTTATTATTTTCCGTTTTTTGATATTATGTACTCACAAGGCACAGAGTGGTCCAATTTGATATACCACCAACCGTTTTGTCGCTAGAGGGCGTTTCTCGATTCTGAGCAAAACTGTGAAAGCTTTATACATTTTTTAAGTACGTCATTGGATTCGGCTTGAAACAGTACCTCTATACCTACCTAAATCAATTATTCTCATAAATAAAGAAAAAAATATTTGTGCAGTTCACACCCGGTAGAAGTCAAACCTTCAATAAACTAAGCTGAGAGAGAATGAGATACACAAACTAGGTACAACGCTTGGTAGACAAGAGTGGGAAGGCTACGAAGCACCGCACAAAGAGGCGACGAAGAATAGGAAACGCTGTACAACAGTATTCTATCTTATTCTCTAGCCGGCTAAATTCCATAGATCTATAATATGTTTGTCACTTTTCAGTGTCGCTTTTCCGTGTCATCGAGTCGAGTCTCAAATCACTCCCAACGATTCTAAAGAAGTTTTCACTTAAAAAGTGATGAATGTTTCACAGTATTGCTCAAAATCCATCAGAAACATCCTCGATAATGAAATTTGATCCTCAGTGGGAGGGGGTAATTTTTTTTGTATCTGGGCTCAGAAATTTACGTTTCTTATCAAAACTGTCCAAATTGGAACACCCTGTACATTCTTTAACAACGTATAAGTAAAGTAAAAATAAATGTTTAAAAAATTATTGTTCATAATTCATAACCTGCGCCTTCCGTGACCAAAGTATGGATTGGGTTTAGTAGATAATCGATCAAAGAATGTTTCTGCCGAGGTTTATGTCAAATTTGAGACATTCTGATGGGGGTTTATTTAAGCCATTCTGATGGGGTTTTTTTCTCCTTGCAGAAAAAATGTATGTATGTAACCTGCGGATGAAATCGCATCTATCAGTTGATAAATGTGTGTATTATTTTTTTTAATCTTATGCAAAATTTATAAAAACCCCCACTAATTCTTTAGATTATAGCGAGAGAAAATACAACTTCAATTTCCCAAGAACATTTGTTTAAATAAACAATAGTGCGCCAACCGACTGCCAACCCAGCGCAGAACGGACGAGAAAGTGGAAATGTATAATTTCCATTTTTTTCGTCCTTCTGACTTGTGAGGTAGGAACTTCCCTTGGGAATCTTATTTAAAACGCGGTGGGCATGGTGAAGAGAGGGGGAAGGCCCACCAACCGTTACTGTTCAGGCCTCAGTAGGTCCATATTATTCATTCACAACAAAAAAAAAGCTTCTGACTCATAAGGCACAAACCCTTATTTTGTGGTAGTGAAAATTCATCCACCCCTCAGCATCTGCACACCGAAACCCGCCAACCATTACGTTTTTTAGTTGACCGAGGACTTGGTATACCGGGCCACCAAAAAACGGCCTTCTAACAGATGACTGAAGCTTTTGTGTCACGAGCTCTCGTAGTAGTAGAGAGTCTCCGCTTTTGTTCTAAGGCCCCTTACATTTTGATAATAAACCTGTAAGAAATCTTTTCCTTCTGCTTGAATTGGAAGATGCTGATTTGTACCTATTAAGAAGCACTTTTTTGTTGAGAACCCATCTTTAGTAGTGGCGACGTCCTCCTCTTGGCTAAAAAACGAGACACAAGTGCCCCATTTGGCCAAATCTCTCTTCCCCATGCCTTCCGAAAATTATCTTGACTTATGGTAACTTTTCAGGATGCATAAAGCTCCGGATGTTTAGACTGATGCATCTCGCAGACCACCTCTGAAAAGTTACCAATTAAAAACTGTTTCAATTTATCTGGCTTAGTAGCAGGTTTGAGTCGAGAGACATGAAGGGATACCTGCTTCGGAACAACCTGGATATTTGTACTAGATTCATCTTTTCCCACTAAAACCTTCTATTGCGATGTTTTCGATATTGAACCTGCTCCCAGCCTTCTTCCATTTTATTCTTCTCAGGACTCAAATCCTGTAGGTGCCTCTTTCATTATTCCACTTTGCTGGGCTTGCAAAACTGCTGTCTTAACAGCGTTTGCGTCAATAAACACGCGATTGTTATCCCTAAAATGATTATTGCTCCAATTAGAGCTAGAATAGAAGAAGCACTAGCTTGTTTACTGATATTTGTACAATCATTGTTTACATTTTTAGGAAGTGGCGCTTGTTTTTGTTGATGTTGAAAAGGTTGACCTTGCGGTCTCCGCTCTGTTTTTGTGGGTTCCAAGCAAGCTCTATGCACATTCACATTATTATTTACAAATTCAAGCTATTTTTCATATGTGCTAATAACCTTTTTTTGAAGTTCGCTGGAATAACTCTGATAATAGTTTGTTTGCCAATGAATTTTCCCTGGTGAGACATTCAATTTCCTTTCTTAGAATCTGCATCTCGGTGTCACATTTTCCCCCCTGCTCTGTGGATTTATTTTTACAAAAATCACAAAATTGTGTGTCTCAACACAACAAATGAAACCTGTTGAGGGACTCCGTGCCATGTAGATTCCGACATATCGAAAAGTATCGAATGCCGCACTGCCTAGAATCCTGTCGATATGTAGAATTCTACATGACACGGAGTCCCTGGGCTGGTGTTACATAATTTGCACTTTATACATGTCGAAGCAGTGTTCACACACGTCCGTACCGCCCGCCATGTTCACTGCGTCCGTACTGCCCGCCATGTTCACTACATTTTTTGGTTCTACGATCCAGGTTTCATCTAGTTCTTGCATGATTTTTTTTTTTCTTAAACATTTTTTTTTTTGGGGTAAATACCTACCATGATTTACCTAATGCAACTAGTGGTTGAAAAAATAAGTATTTACTGTATTAAATACCTTAATATTATTTGCCAAATGCAGGGACGTCTTAAGACTTCTTGAGGCCCTGGGCCTATATGTAAAAGGAGGCCCCTTACCTACTCACCTACGGGGGGGGGGGGGGGGCAACAAATTATAATTTACAAATTGCAAAGGCTGCGCTTCGCCTCGGCTATTTGAATACACCTCGCACCTAAAAGTACTCTTTCGCAGCTTGGAATGTAAATAACTATTGTTACCGTTACCTTCAAAGAAAGTTACTTTGACACTTCGTCGTTTCACTCGTTTCCGAATATCTCGGTACTCCTGTAAAACAGATTTTTCTCTGGATTTTGATTCATAAAAATCAAAACCGCCTCTTTTTCTCTTAATATTAATGGTTTAAAAAGTTTTACAGTTGTAGACAAATTTCAGTTTTCCTTTTGAACGAAAAAATTTACTCTGTTAATCCGAGTCAAAATATCATTCCAAAAAATAGTTAAGAAAGTGGTGTCTAAGTCATCCATCTTGCTGTTCAATGTTTTTGCAGTAAGACGTGTATCTGCTGATTGCAATTTGTCATTACTTAAGGTATCAAGGCTTGTTTGGATTTTTGAACAAAGTCAAAGTCAATTGTGACATTCCATTCTATCCACCCGCCTATTTTTATTGTTTTTTCAATTTTTTTTCTATAAAATTTATTTTAAATTAGGCGTGGACTTAGCGATGAGGCCCTTTTCGCGCCGGAGGCCCTGGGCCCGGGCCCAGCGGGCCCATGCCTTAAGACGGCCCTGGCCAAATGCTTAAAACATACCTATAATTAATCTGAACTCCGATATTTTTTTTTTGTTTATAATTGAATAATGATGCAAATATTGACAGAAGGAGTAAATTTCACTGAATCGCCATCAAAACAACCGATATTTAATTTGACGATTATTAAAAAGTTCAAACGTGCTGAAATTTAGGTAATTATTTCACTAATTATCAATTTACCTTTAAACTTTTCATTTAACAATGTAATGATGGGATGAGGTGCTGCTAGTACCTACCATAATTTTGGTACAGCCAGTCAGTTTCATATTGTTGGTTTTTGCAATATAACATATCTAGATAGAATTACCTAGAAGTTCAAACTTTAATAATAGTACTGCATTATTGTAGGAGTTTGCGATTGAAACAAGTGATAAAAATGGTAATACATTTTGGAAATTTAGTTTAGGTCTATAAACAATGGAAACAAAATTGCTCTAGAAAAAAATACATTATTTTGCAAATATTTTTTATTTAATGGTCTGCAACATTTTGCGCAAGTTCTAGTGTAGCAAATTAGATTATTAGATCATTATACTTATTAATGTTACAATATAATTCTAATTGTTTACTTATTGTTTTGAAAAAATATACAGTGTGCGTGTGCCACCATGAAGGATTGTATCTAAGAATAAAAAAATATTTTTTTTGTTTTGAATATAGTCATACTTGGTACTATTTACTATCCTCGAGCTGAATCCATAGTTGAAGTCAATCGATAAAAAATTAAGAAGAAATATTCAACCATTACTTATACTTTTACTCTAATTTCCGTTTAGATTTGAAAATGAGCGATTTTAGACTAGGGTATAGAAATAAATATGAACTATGTCTGAAATTTTCCACATAATCCAAAGCCCATTAAATAGTCGAAACTCAAATAACTTCAAATCAAAATTTTGAAAAAAATATGGTTTTGGTTTTAAAAATACATTCACGGTCATGGTCTTGACACACCCTTTATAAACTTTTATTTTGAAATTTCAGCATCTAGCAGCAGTTTTATATGAAATCTTCTTATATTCCAAATATATATTTATTTCTGTATGTGCATGGACAATAATATTCACAATTAGCCCGATATTCGTGATTTATAGAAAACTTATCGATGTTTTACTGAAAATTAAATATAAAAATAAATATGGAGGTTTGCTGGATAGAAGCGATTGCGTGTTTTTGAAACCCAACTTGTCAATGAGCTGCACCATAACGACGGTTTTTATAGTAAAAACAGAAAAAGAAAAAAATATTTTCAATGATGTTAGATTGCGATTGAAAGAAAAAGTAAGCCTTATAATGAATTTTGATGACAATTGACAATTTCTAGACTTACTTAAATAATGTTTTAGATTTTCGATGAACCAAATTGGTATCCAAAACTGAGTCATTCCATACATGATTTTGGAGGATATGCTTATTTATTAAATAACAATCGTGAAGTAGATGATGCAGTTAAACTCATGGCAGTTCCCAGCAATGTACAATTTGATGAGGAATATCTTAAGACAATTACCGCAGAAATAAATAGTTCTGAGCTATCAATAAATAATTCACTTCTTTGGTATGTGTATGTAAGCGATAAACCTCTACAAAATCAAGGGAATGTAAGGAAATTTTATTTTGATAAGGATAATAAAATATATTGGAAATTGAAATTTTCAGGATAATTTTTATCGTTATTCCATAATATTTCGCTTCCACCATGCAGTTGGTGATGGTACATCACTAGTTGCTTTACTCATAAGATTGTTGGGAACTGAATCTTCACAAAATTATAACGAAAAGTTATTCAAAAAATTATTTGCCGGTAAAAATTCAGAACCAGGCAAAAATAGAACTTATAAATATTACCTGGTGAGCTTTCATGAAATTGTTTTTTGAATTGAAAAAATAATATTGGACTTTTCCAGCTAAACATGTTCAAATTCATACAATTTTGGTTCACCGTCATTTTTATTTCTATCGGAAGATTCCAAAATAAAAACCTTCTTGAGCCAGCAGACAAAAATGCTTTGCACAGTTCAAAATTGAGCGGAAAAAAAACTGTGGCATGGGGTACAGAAGACTATCCAGAATGTCTTAATATGGTGAAAAATGTTAAAAACCGTTTACCTAATGCTACATTTAGTATAGTCGTAGCTACAGCCATATCCAACAGTATGACAAGCTTTTTTAAAAGAGTAAGTAACTGATAGCTATTTTGGTATATTACTGTAACTATGTATAATCTTGCCAAATTTCATTTTACCTTTGAATGAGTATCATAGCTTTAAATGTTTTAGAATTCGCTACCAGTACCAGATTTCACTACCGGTCTAATGATCATCCTTTTAAAATTTCCTGATACGGTTCCATCTAAGCAGGTACGACTGGAAAATAAGGCAACAACTTTATTATTGGACTTGCCATCTACACATAAATCTGAATCTTTGTTGAGTGCACTAAAAAATGTAACTATGCAAATGGAAAGTCAGCTTAGTTACGCAGATGCTTTGGTAAAAATAACTAAGTATAAGACCCAATTAAATTATATCTGTTGCTGTGAAATAGGAAACAACTTTGATGATTTGATTGATTGGTTCTGGTTAATATTATGTTCGTATCAGCAAAAAACATTTCCTTCCTCTAACATTTTTTTTATTTTTGAAAATTGCTTTACAATTTTATTTGCATGTAGGCCGCTTTTTCATAAATTTCAATCGGATTTTTTCGTGCGTAAATGTTAATTCATAGGTACCTATAGGTAATATTTTGTACTGATGATTATAAATCAAAAAACATCCAAATGTGCTGTAGATTTCTTGTGTTTTATTGTATGATGAATCATCTTTTTTTAGGTAGTCCGTTTTGCAGCCGCTGAACTTTTCGGTTATCTACCCATTAATTTAGGAAACGAAATCGTAGGATTTAATAAGCAAACATTTATTTTAACAAATGTGCCTGGCGGGTCAGTAATCAAAATTTTTGATGGTTGTGTTGTTGAAAAAGTTATTCCTATTGCTCCGAATCTCAGACATGCGGGTAAGTAAAATAATTTAATACACATAAAAACGCTATTAGGTACAGTGGGAATCATTTCAATTGGCACATTCTCTTTTAAAATTCCCCGTAATAGGTCAAAATTTTAACCAATAAATCTATTTAGTGCAGTGGTGTACGTGATATTTTAACCCCTGTGAGCTCATTTTCTCTTTAAATTCATGATCGTTCCATTATTAGAACCGAGGGCTAAGGCAACTGCTCGAATTGTCTCACCTTTTGTGTTATCAATTGGCTCTTGCCTTTTCGTTATTGTTAAACACATGGTAAACCATTTTAGCAAACAAATATTTCTTTCCTTCAACAGTTTATTAAAACTATTTTGTTCACCACTGATTTATCAATCTGACAGGATTTTGACATTACCTGTGTGTCAAAGAAGTAAAATTTTGACACATTACATACCCAATTTAAATCAATGAAACGCCATGCTCAGCAGTACAGGGGGTATAATTATAATTGTATTGAAGTGAAGTATAATTTTTAGTAACTAATAAGATCGTTGGACATATTATTTAAATGGTATGCATACATTTTTTAAAATGCTTCAATTTTAGTTAGTTATTCATTCATTTCCTATCGTTATTTGTACCAAAAATTTTATTATAAAAAAAAATTGTTGTTTTGAGAAATACATTAAGAATTTGATTGATTGATGATTGAACACATAACTTCAAGAAATAGGCCTAATACAGCTTAAATAATAATATAACATCCTTTTTAAGCTGTATCTTTTGCCCTACTGACGTACGATGATCGATTTCAAATAGGACTTTTGGTGGACAAGGCTCTTGTAAATTCCCAGGATGAAGCTAAAAAAATTGTGGATGATATACTGGAAAGTATTAAAGTATTAGACAAGGAATCTCAACTTTTACTTGACTAGAATGGGTTTTTTGTTAATACTTTTCCTTTGATATGTAATATAGGAAAGCTTTTTGAAGAAATAGGTAAATCTCTTTATTTTCTATGAATTTCGGGCTATAAGTAGGTACATTTTGTTATTTTATTGGATGCATAATGTGCCGAAATGGAACAAAATAAACTAATTAAAAAGCTATTTCTATTAAATTTAAGTTCGTGACGCGGGGCAATTATTTAGGTAGGTAAAGGTATCAAATTAACTAGACCAAATAGTATTTAAGAGAAATCAAATAAATTGCCTAAAACTATACTTGTACTTTGTAGCATACTTATTAAGCCTATTTTTTTCTATAAATAGCACCAATGTAGCAATTAAAATAATTTGTTTAGAGCAACAGTTTTATATCATCAACCTCCTATGGCATGCCGGAATTCAACCTTCAGTAGGTTATAATTAGGGGATTCTCGCAACTGTAAATAGATACCTACCATCTTTGGTAATAAGCTGTGGATCCAACCAGTTGTTCAAAAGTATCGAAAAATAAAAAAAAAGTCAAGAAATTACGGGAATATTTTTTAGTGTTTCGAGAAAATTAACAGTCAGTACGCTTTTCTAATGCATTCTCCTTTTGCTGTCAAAATTTATAAAGTAATTTTTTGGTTCATAAGAATAGCAGTACATATAATTTTGTGAGTGTTTTTGATATGAAATCAGCCAAATTTATCTTATCTGTTGGCGTTTCCTCTTGGACATCGATTCAAATACCTTTGCAAATTATTACATTTGACTGGGTTTTCGATCGCCGAAAAATGTAAAAATCCCCCTAAAATTTGTCTTAAACATTTATGTTGTCGAATACCTTATAATAGGAGGATGTGTGACATGAAACGGAAATTAAAGTTTATAATGAAAAATATGAATTTTATGTTATAAAAAATGGTATAAAATGTCTGCTACATAGGTAATGATGCTCTGGTTTGGTTATTTTGACAATAAAGGTATATATAAACGCTGTTACATATCAATTTCCTAAGCTTGAGGACATAATAGTGGATATTCCAATTGATAAAAATATTCAACCTGTTGCTCAACCTTACGGAAAGAGAGTTCCAATTTCATTAGACCAAAAAGCGAAAAAGGCTTTTCGAGATCTTTAAAAAGGCTCCGGTTCAAAAGGGCGATATATGAAATAGCGACATTCAAAACAGCGGCATATTGAAATGGCGACATTCAAAACAGCGCATATTATCAGAAGAGCGACATTCGACATTCAAAAGCGCGATACTTTAAAACAACAGCGACATTGCAGAAGAGCGACATATCAAAAGAGCGACGGATGTGAAGAACGACATTTAAAACAGCGACATATAAAAAGAGCGAATTTTATAACGGTGACCTCTAAACAAAATAGATACACATCAAATTGAATCAATAATAATCGAGAAAATGCAGACTTACTCAAACTAACCCAAACTAACCTGTCCGCCTAGTGCGATCTAGTCCTCGTAAGTTAGCATTTTATTTGAAAAACAAAGAGCGCTCAAGGGACGCTACGCTATAAGTAAATTAACTTTTTTTTTTTTTTTTTTTAATAAAATGCTTACTTACGAGAATTAGATTACACCAGGCGGACGGGTTAGTTTGGGCTAGTTTGAGTAATTCTGCATTTTCTTGATTATTATTGATTCAATTTGTTTCTCACCCATTCGTCACACACTAGCATAAGGCAAAAGTCAAAAGAAAATGTTGAAGTTAGAACAAGAAATTTGATTGGAAGTAATATTACTGATCCTAACGGAGAAGAGATGTTGCCATCGTACAGTGCCTCAAAGCATGATAGACAAAGGAACCCAGACAGAAGGTAGTACAATAAGCTTAACGTCAGCGACGATAAACGTAAGGCATAGACAAGTTTTCCGATATATCGCTGTTCTGTTTAGATCTCGCTGTTTTAAATGTCGCTCTTCTGCACTGAGGAAAAAAATAGGCTAAAAATTTAGTTAATGTAACTACAAGAGTGGATAGTATAGAGAACAGGTCAAAAATTAGGTTACAACAGCAAATATGAATTAGTTCGCACAACATACGACTTTCGTAGCCTGTAGTTATGTCAACTAATATTTTAGCAGCTGCAAACTGTAAGGTATATCTCTGTTACTAATATCAGGTAACCAGGCAACAGAGAATTGTCAATCATTGAAATAGATTTATCATCAATTTCCTATAATAAAGTATAATTTATTATCTCAACATGGCGCAGTCGGTAGGATAACCTTTGCGAATAGTCCAATCAAATGGTAATTTTTTGTTAACATGAATGCGGCAGGTTTTTCAACGGATTTATTTGTTTTTTGGGGTGCTGAATACAAATCTGAAGTTCGCTGCCTCGTAACAGAACCGGCTCAGGCCGAAAATCACGAAAAACCTCCAAATTTTCGGACTTTTTCCGGTTTTCTGGTCATATCTTGCAAGCGACGCATCGTGCGAAAAATGTCACAGTATTCAAAGTAAAAGAGCATAACATTCTGCGTCGAATGACCTACCTAACCTTGTTACTGTTAAGTTTATAAGCTCGCCATCGTCAGTCGGAAAACTGCAATAAACTTACTTTTAGACGACAGTGATTTCAAAACAACCACTCTAAGTAAAAAATCTTTGAAGATGTACTCAACCAAATATTAAGTTCATGAGTACCAAAATTTTAAATTTGGATCAATATATACGCATATACTGATCATTGATCATTTCTTCATTCTCCCTCTAAACGCTTATTTGACAAAATGAAGGGGTCCGACAATAAAAAGTCTGTGCCTGTCAATATAAACCCCCCTACTTCTCAAACCCCACTTGTCAACCCTAAATTACTTCTTCCTCCATTTTTTGTAAGTCTGACTTGAGGATTTATAAGTATTATGTATGTAGATGTAATAGGAAGTAATCAAATCAAATCAATCAAATTAAAAAGTACTTTATTGTCCAGAAAAACTTTTCATTGATAAAGCATACCAACTTAAATAATAAAATACTTAATAAAACTAAACATCTATCAGAACAATTTAAAATTTTATGTTCACAAAGTGTCTCCAAAGAATTCTTCAATATTATAGTAGGCATTAGTTAAGAGTAACTCCCTTACCCCCTTTCTAAACCTCCCGTATGAGCGTGAAGACCTAACGCTAGATAGTAGAAAATTGAAGGCTTTCTTGGAAAAATAAAGTTTGGAAAAAGAGTTCTTCACCAAGGTGCTTGTGGAAATTGGCAGTGGAATATTATTAGCTTGCCTAGTTGAATAGTGCCTTGCCGAAGAAAGTTATGGTCATAGTATTTCCTATAGACCAGGCAAACACTTTTGAGGTATATAAGCATGGCACAGTCAAAATTCTATGAGAAATAAAGCTAGGTTTGCAAGATTGTCGGAAGAGAACTCAAAGCGTATACCTAAGGGCTCTTTTTTGTAAAATAAATATGGAGTTGAAATTTGTAGTACTGCACCAGTCCTAAAATGCAATTCCATAAGTAAAAAATATGCGGTCCTGAGAGCTCGCTGCTCCAACAATCTACCCATTTACACGAAAAAATATTTACTCATTTATCAAATTTAGATTAGCAAGATGAGAGAATATATACAATATAACATACCTATAGCAGGCAAAAATATGAAAAATTTATTGGAAACAACAAAATTTGGTAGCCTTTTTCAATTATTTCCGATAAACTCAAATGCAACAGAAAAATTTATTGACTATAACCGCCGGAATATAAAATATTGTATGAAATTCGGATCATAAGTGTTATCAAACTCGGCTGACGCCTCGTCTGATAATATTCACGGCTAGTACCATAATGATCGTCATTATGATCCTTATAACATAAATATCTATTATTGCAGTTTTCACAAAAGTTCATTAAAATTGACTTTTTTCGACTGACGATGGCGAGCTTATAAATTTAGCAGTAACAAGTTAAGGAGGTTATTCGACGCAGAATTTTATGCTTTTCAACTTTGAATGGCGTGACATTTTTCGTACGATGCGTCGTTTGCAAGATATTACCAGAAAACCGGAAAATGTCCGAAAATTTCGAGGTTTTTCGCGTTTTTCGACCTGAGCCGGTACTGCTACGACTCAGCAAACTTCAGATTCATATTCAGTAACCCAAAAAACATATATTTCCGTTGAAAAACCTTCTACCTCATTCATGTTACGAAACAGGCACTTTTGACACCATTTAATCAGACTAGAAACTAATATTCATGAAACAAAGAATTGCTAAAGATTAAATTTAATATGGGTTATCATAGGGGAATACCACATATGGAAATGTCAGGCAGTGAATTGGAAAGTTTGCAGAGCAAGATTTGAAAATTATTTATTTGCGAGTGGGGTAAATAAAAAAAATGAGTCCTTACAATGTGCATAATAATTGTTACATTTTATTGGAGAAGAAGGTTTCACAATATATTCAACTTTTTCAATTCCGAATGAAGACCAGAACAAATTAAATAAATTGTTCGATAAATTCGAGTGCCATTTTCTTCCGAAAGAAAATATTACTTATGAAAGGTACAAACTTTTTAGTATGAAGCAATCGATGCACTAGTCTTTAGAACATTTCAATACTGAAGTTAAAAAACAAGGTATGAAGTGTAAACTTGACCACTTACAAGATGAATTGATATAGGGCCGAATTTATAGTCGCTCCTCGAGGTTTCCTCAGACCTAAAGGAAGCCTTGAACGTTTAGAATTGACATGACTAACTTGTCGAATAGTAGCAAATGTCCATTCTAAACATTGAACTAAGCCATTGACATATGCCATATGATGGAAAATGCCAAAGAAATATGTCAAGAAATAGAAAAATGTTCAAAAGATGATTCTGAAGTTGATGCTATTCGTGTTCGGAAGAGTTTTATTGGTCAAGATAGAAATACTCAAGGTTCAAAAAATAGGTTTGAACAGAAGACCTTTTTTTTTTGAACCAGCACGTTGGTTCTTGATGAAGGACGCAAGACGGCCTACTCAAGCCAAGCAACGTGGTGTCGGGATGGTGATTGGATGGGCGACCGCAGTTGTACGGGACGGTAGATCGCCCGCGCTGCCGCCAATCATCTGATCTCCAAGTATGAATGAGAAGGAGTAGAGCCCATACAAATGAAATACAATAAGCCTATAAAGGCTGCAGCTGCAGTGTAGAGTATGGGCTTGAAAGGGTGAAATAGCAAGCAAGCAAGCAAGACCTTTTTATATTCCGGCGTGTCAAAATGACATTATTATGGACTTCATTTGTAGTGTCAAAATGACATACTTTATTGG